CCCCAAAACCCCAAAACCCCATATTGAGAAAATAATTGATTTATTTAGAATGAGTTACATAGAAATTACTAATCATTGCATTCAATATTTGTCATTAAACAATATAAGGATACCAAATTCTCGCAGATCTATCTGCCGATGTACTAAGCAGTAGGGGCATAAACGGATGCCATCTTACGGATACTACTTTATCATCATGACTTAGAGTCTTTACGTTCGACAGGTTGTCTAGATCACTTGTATCTGTTATTATAATCTAGGAGTCAAAACCAGCGCTTGCTAGATACTTTCCATCGACGCTGAATGATACACCTCTCACTTCTTAAGAATGAGGACCGATCTAAGCGAGGCAACGCCTCATATTAATGTCCCAGAATGTAAGTGAGCCGTCAACATGTCCAACGCAAGCCAAGCTATTCATAATGCTCTACTGATTGTCTGTGGATGTATTACTCTCCAAAGGAGAAGAACTGAAGCATATCTCATTCATGTCTGAGTACTAAGTTCCATCAATAGCTGAAATCTATGATTTCATTCTGACGTCCCATATTCTAATGAACTTGTCTGTTCCAACACTCATAGCTGTTGAACCATCCTAAGACATCTTTATTGAATAGATACTGCCTGTATGGCCCTTCAAATTAGCTATGTTCTTTCCACTTTCACTGTTCCAAACTTTAAGATCAGTATCGTCTATAGAAATATTTAGTATTGGTATATATTATTACTCAGTCCACCAGATAAAAGCATATAGTCATCAGCTGGATTGAAGCATACTGTTCTTACTATTGCTGAATGTCCCATCAAAGGCAATACTAGTATTTCAGAGTGATTTTATTGATTTTCAAGATCAGGGCAAACTAAAATTTTAATAGATCTATCATTTGATCCACTAGCTATAAGTCTTGATGATCTTGACCAATCAAGACAATATACACTTCCATTGTGATGGTTCTCATTTTCAAAAAGTATATGAAGTTTCTAAGGGTTGTCTCTCTTTTCTCTATGACTTGGTGATAAATCATTATCTTCATCACCTGATGCCAAGTCTTCATCATCCTCCAAATTAGGTAGAGCACAGATTTTCAGAGATTGTGAATTTGTTCCAAGGGCAATATAATTTCCTTAGGGGTTGAAGCATGCAGCTCTTATTGGCTAGCTATCTGTTAGAATAGCCTTCAAGGCCAAATTTGAGATGTTGTTGTCTAGGCATGGATCAATATCTGATATTAATTATTATGGATTTTCATCTGTGTCAAGATATGGATTATTAGAGGACAGTTATTGCTATTGATTTTGAGACATTTTATCCTAGCTAGTGATTTATCTCACAGATTACTTCTATGATTACTTATCACTGATCTATTCATCATCGTCGTTTTATTCAATAAAGTCATCCTCGTATTAATCTTCATCATCCTCTTCTTCTTAATACTACTGCAACTATTTAGAGTTTTATTAGCCTTTTACTGGTATTTGATTTTGGTAATTTTACTATTGCATATTTTGCTAAACTCTCTGATTACCTGATGGCTGCTTATTTGAGGGTTTTTATTGGGAACGATAGTTTTATTTTAGTTCTTCATACTGATTCTACAGTTCATCAGGATCACTGTCATTTTAGAAGATAAAGTTGTTATTCAAGGGAGGACCTTGCTTCCTACTGGTATGATCTGTATGCACCAAACTCTATGCTGAATATATTTCCTATTATTGGTGAGGATTTTACTTATGAGATCTCATTGTTTCTGACTTTATTTTTTGAGATTGGTTTGATTATCTTTTTGAATTAAAAGAGGTATTGTTTATTGCAGGCCCTCCGATCATCTCAATTTGATTATTCTGCTAATTATTGTGATTAAAGCTCGACTAGGCCTAAGATATTATTTGAGATGGCAGTTAGCCTCCTCCATTACTTGATTTAGATCCTGTTCTATTGTGTCCTCCTTTCATTTATTATTATTAAGGCAAAAAATCATTAATCTAGTTTTGTATTCCTGATCTATTAACTTGATTAGACTGAAAATCATTCTAAGATTAGTTGAATTAAGCTGTTGGTCTTTAGAATTCAAAGTTTGATTGGTAAGCTTATTATTGAATGCTGGCAGACTATTTTCCTTTACCCATGTTTTATGAAGTATTCTAAACCTTGTTAGGGTTTAAAGTACTATCGTTCATAGAGAATTCATTTTAATCGTAAGATTGCTTCTGCTTGTGGTAAGAAATCGATTTATACTATTTATCAACTGCAAGTTAGTGCTGTAAAGCAGAAAGTTGATCGTTCTAAGGAATAAACCCTCCAACATTGTTTATACCGCCACCTACGCTTTTCTTACTCATGTTAAATTGATTCATACTTTGAATCATGTTTTAATTAACTGGTCTAGGTTGCAATTATTTTGGTACATGCTCTTCAGCTGGGAAATTTAATCTATTTCCCATTTGCGGCTATCTCCCAAAGATATTTTAATTAATTGATTGAGTCATTAGTTTTTTCTACTGCTTGGATTATTGAGTCTAAGAGTTCAAAGTTATTTAAGCTGGCATTGACTGAGCGAATTCTTTGTCAAAATAGTCATCATCATTTTCATTATCATCATCCTCATCATCTTCCTCCTCTTCGTCATCTATCTCCTCAGGCACTTCTAACTCCTCATAATCTATTGATTGGATCATACTATTATTTTTGCTTTGATTATTTTTAGGCCTTCTACTGTAAAACGCTATCTTAACTTCGTTCAAATTTTGCTTAGCAAATTTAACTTAGTTATCTTAATTTATCAAGTCTTTTAGCAGACTTACCTCACTACATTATGATATTGGATCGAATTTAAATTTTGTCATTGAGCCTGTTTGCTTAGCAATATAGTATTGATAGTTAATTGAGTCCTTCATTAACTTTAGGAGTCTATTAACTGGGGTTTTTCTTTTCTCATAGGCATTTTCATGGCCAAATATATCCTGCATTATGATTTTGATACTTTCAAAGCATTCCATTCTCCCTTTTTGTACAGTCCAATTGACGTAATCAGGATGATCATTGATGCTTTTAAGACTCAGCAAATAACAAAGCCCATTATATTAGTCCTTTGATTAACATAAATTCTCAAGATTCTTTAACACTGCTAGCAGATAGTTTTAATCATCTAACTATTGAGAGATAAGTAGTTCTAAGTATCGTTATTTCCCAATTAGAAAGGCAACTTATTAGCCATCTATTTTATCTCTGATATGAGTTATTTCGAGGAAGTTTTCGACATCATCCCAAAGTCCATCAAGTATCATTGATCTCATAAAGCTTAGCTCTTTACTATATCTAAAGAGTGTTGTCCTAGACTCCTCTTCCAATGACTGTAGAGATTTGTACATATTATGCTCCTTTAAATAGTCCTAAAATTGCAGGGCTTATAGATCAGTATATTCTTACGAGGATCAAAAGTATGACATCTTTATGGTTTATTTAGAGTTTTACCATTGCTATTTGAATTCAAATTAATTATAAACCTGAAAAATATTTCACTTTTAATTTTACTGTTGCTTTTTTAGATTGATTGTACTTAGCGGGGTTTTGGGGTTTTGGGGAGATCGGAA